ATTTACGAAATGGGAAATTGAGAAGAGAAACAAAAAGGCACCGCAACGACTTGAGATGTCGAATATCGAGGTGCACTTTCGAAAAATGTGCTCATCGCTCACCCTTATAACACCATAACGGCGCAAAAGCAATCGATATTGGAGGATAAGATTGTATTCTCGAGGTAACCAATAGTCGAAAATTGAGAATAATTCGGTATGTCACTAAATTCGTCTTCAAATTTCCCGCGGTTACAAATAAAAGTGCAACTTTTAGACGACTTTTTGAACTTGGCGCACGGACTGCGGTTGTCAGCGATAACTACGGTTTGCGGTACACTGCAAACCTACATTTCTGCGCATGGAGCGCGAGGATGTCGTCTTCCTCCGCTCCGCAGTACATAGTCATTAGGCTCTTCCTTCGATGCATCGACGACGATCCGTTTTAGGCGACTCAGTGCAACATGGGATACAAACTCAAACAAATAAACTTACTTGCAAGAAAATGTTGCATCCAGAACAGATCCAGTCTACTGAGCGCGAGGAGAACAAGAACAGCAACTCGCCACTTGTATTTTTTTGCCGCGGAATTCAAATCGCGATTTTCTCGACTTTTTCCACAAAAGATGTGGTCATGTGTTAGTGCGCCCTGTTTCAAATAAACAAAGAAGCATACATAGTGTGCTGAAATGGGCACGTCTATTTGGGTAGAATAGTAGAATATTCTTTTTGTTGTTTGTTGCTTATTCGTTAGAATATTCGTTCGTGATTTTGCTATTCGTTGGAACACTGCTCTTAATCGTCCACCTCTCCACACTGCACTCTTGGCCCACAGTCACAACACCACTCCATAGCGAGGAAGTTCGTTCTTGAGTAGATGTTCCATATTCTCCAGACAGCTGTTTTCCTCAATAAGAGTACCCCAGCAGAGGTAGATAACGAAGAGGGCAGTGTGGAGAGGTGGACGGTTAAGATTATTTTCAAATGGCCGAGTGTGTCGCTACTTCGGAGTCACACAGTATGCCGATAAGTCAATTGACACACAATTCGGCAGTACTTTCGATGACGTAGTCCGGATTTCATCCCATCGCAGCCTTCATTGGCGACACGCGGGTAGAGGCATGGGGTCGCTGTCGGTATAGTCACAGCAGGACGTCCAGGTCGTCTCTCCAAGTGCTCGACTTGTCATCCAACTTCCGAATCAGGCCAAGCAATGTCCTGTTGAAGTGTTCAGCAGTTCCTTGGGACTGTGGGTGTCTGACGGCTCCTGTCTTCACTCGGACACCGAAGTACTTGAAGACAGACTCAACGAGTGCGTTCCGAAACTCAGAACCATTATCCATGCGGACAACCTTCGGCGGGCCCCAGAGATTACACAGCGCCGTGGACGCCTTGTCAACAGCGGAAGCATCATGTCGAGCCAACGGGATAACTTCGGCCCACTTAGTGAACGAACCGACTGCCGCTAGCACACAATGGTAGCGGCCACTTTCGCTCTGCACCAAGTTTTAAAGTATGTCTATGACCACCTCTGACCACTGGCTCCCTGCGATGCTTGCTTGCGTAGGCGGCATAGACGTCTCGCGGCGTCTGTTAGCTGCTTGGCACTGTACACACTACTGAACGTGCCACTGGCACTGGGCAGCCATATACGGAAAGTAGCAGCGGCTACGAACAACATCATACATGGTATTCCGCGAACCATGACCTGTTCTCGTATGTGAAGCAGACAATATATCAGCGACTAGCTTCGATGCCACGACTGGAAGTTCCACGAGGCCATCGATAGGCAACTACTTCACACTACGGCACAGCAGGCCATTCACGATCACAAGCTGTGAACAGACCTTCGTGAACAACTCATGAAGTGGGCGGCCTCCTTCAATCTGCGAGATCACCTCAGTGATCAGTGCATCGGTGTGCTGAGCGGTCGCAATGTCGTGTTGCTGAACTGGACCACCAGCAGGTCCACGGACGAGGCTTGCTGCAATGCTGCTCTCCTTCAACTGCGCTTTGCCGTGAGCAGTCCAGGTAGCGGGGACACGCGTTAGGATGTCAGCTCGATTCTGGGCAGAATTGACCACTACGACTGTCACAGAGAGGCCAGCTACAATGACAATGTCCGACACTATCTGCAGACGTCACTGCACCACCACTTCGTGAAGGCCCTTGGTACGAACACGGTATGAGTTTGTCACCACATCGTTCAGCCAGCTAGTGGCAGACTTTGAATCTGTCATAAGCCGCACTTTTGTAGCACCCCAACGAACGGCGAGGTTGAGTCCTTTGATCGTTGCTTCCAGCTCGCTCACACTGATATGTCGTGTGTCTCCGGCTGGTCGAAGCCATGATCGGTCTTCAATGACGTGTCCGTCCACTTCAACCACCACGTCCGTCCACTTCAACCAGGCTAACACAGTAGTACATCACCATCAGTACATCAGCATAGAACGGCTAAGACAGTAGCCTATCCTTGAGGTAACTGCAGGCGGGGCGAAGCCAACTACAAACTGGCAGATGACCTGTTAGCCTACCGCACCATTTGAATATGGCACGCTTCGTCAAGACCTCCGGTACACGGAGGTCGCTGCCATCTCGGCGTCGCCAGGTGACCTCGCTTCCGGCGTCGCACAGCTGCAGGCCCAATCCTCTCGACTCTTCCAGCGGCTCGGCGGGCTTCGTGGGCAGGCTGTACTCAAGCATCGTCTTGGCACCGGCGTGAGCGCAATTTGACGGGGTCAGCATATCATCGATGTAGCTGTCAACTTTTCGGGTAACCGCGCGTTGCATAACGGGCGATGATGCCCATGTACTTTGGTGCATTACTGAGCCCAAAGCCCATTCGTGTCATCACGTATGGCTTTCCGTTCCAAAGGACAGTCTGGTACTTCAGAAACTACTTAGCGACGTGGATTTGGAGATACGCTTTCTTGATGTCCAAGAGCTTGAAATCTCCCGGGCAACCAGCCTTTCTCCACTTACGCAGAGACTCCTCACAGGCGGGTGAATCACCACCAGGGTCTGATTGCAGCCGGGCATTGAGGCAACGGTAGTCGAGCACTGGCCAAACGACTGTCGCGGTAACACTGCTGCTGGCTCACCATGCACCATCGGATCGTGTGGAATCAGCCACTCACTCTCGATCCACTTCTCCACTTCAGCACAGAACAGAGCGTCTTGCTCTGGAGTGAGCTTCTCTCGCGATTAAGCTGCGATGCCGGATCCAAGCATAGCCGCTGGGGCAACACCATATTTCCACTGCCAAGAAAGCTCCCACTCCCTTTTCTCCGCATTCCAGCGCACTTCGCCATCCTGCGACTGGAGAATTACGTCATGCCCATCATGCTTCACGCTGACATGAGGCGACGGGTGTGCATCGGTAAAACAGATGCGACAACATCAGGCTTGACGGGTCCAAACCGGATTCCACTGGTCCCGGGTTTCGGCACCATAATCTGTTAGGGGATTACTGGCTGTGCATTAGTCTATCCTCTACCATGGCACACTAACCAGAAGAAAACAAGTCTTCAATTACAGATAGGAATACATTTCGTGAGAGAGAGTAAAACTACAAGTATCGGTAAAACATCGTCCAAATTTGAACTTTGACTTTGGACATCAACGCGTGCACTTGAGACGATAAAACTTGGTATGAAGGAAGGTAAGGTACAGAATGACAACTGGCCAAGTGGAATTTATTGTCCAAGGAAGGGTTCATGCATTATTGGTCCTCCTTGTCGCTGCTCCCGGTGCTGGTGACAAATATTTTTTTCGCAAGCTCATCTCTCTTCCTCTCCGCTGCCTGGGTATTTTCTAAAGGGAAGTAGACCGTGACGATCGCCTTCTCTATAGGACTTCGCGTGGGCAGCACGACTGCCTGTGTGGTTCAAATCAGTCGCCGTTCTTTGCAAGATTTATTTTGAACGACGATGACTAGTACAGTACTTGCAAATCTCCACGATTCGCTGGATACTCCGAGCGTTGCACTGGAGGCGAGGGAACTGCGATGTCAGCTTGGCGAGCGATCCCTGAGGTGAGTGATCTCGGCCGTTTTGCAAATGGAACTGATTCTGAGTAGCCGATTACTTTCTTGTGCGACGAGCTGCTCTTGCCTGCCCAGTGTGACAAGATAATCTATAATAATTATTGATGCGGCGCTGTACCAATCAGAATCACGAACCTGTCAGTCTCAAAATATAGCTAGACCTTTCAGATACTAGTAAACTAACCTACTAACCAAAATTGGGATGAACTGGGCTGCCAAGTGAGCATTGGCGACATAATAACAGAGCTGAAAGATAAGCGACAATATTGCTGACGCGGACCAAGTATAATCGTTTCATCCCTAATATAATTATACATGTACACACAAACATGCACATACACCCCCCCCCCCCCCCCCCCCCCCGCTACACACACACACACACACACACACACACACACATGTACACGCATACACACCGTGTACCATGTATACGCCCGTTACAAGAGAAGCACGCAAATCTGCGAAATGTACTGGAGGTGCACCCACAGATTGTCTCTTATAGCAACGATAGCGGACAAGATCTGAATGAGACAGATCAAGACTAGTGCCAGATATCTTCCTAATCCATACAACCTGTGAAGCCATGAGAATCGACCACCAATGCACACGTGGTCTGCACAACGCGAAGTACATCAGCATAGAACGGCTAAGACGGTTGCCTATCCTTGCTGTATGCACACACACACTCACGCACGCACCCCCCCCCCCCCCCAAACACACACACAAACACACATACACCAGGAAATATATTTACGCCACTTTAGAATGTAGGGACGGCCATTGTATGGACCCAAGAGTGAATGGTGTGCCATGGTCTGCTCTACTGGCAGATGGTGGAATCCGTAAGGTTACGTTCTGTTGCTCTGGCCTGGCGCGAGTGACTAGATGCTACTTGTTGTGATCGAATATATTGCTCAAACCATGTTCTGGAAAAAAATTCTTAAGGAGAATCAAGAATAGAGATTGCTCAACTTACATTGTTCTTTACAGAGGTTGTGTCGGGTTGGAGGTCTAGTAGATACTTGACTACTTCCAGATGTCCATTCCTGGCAGAGTCATGAACAGGAAGATCACCGGTCTGTGTACAGGTAACACACATGACAAGACATTCCTGTGCGTTATCCATCAGAAAAGTATCTATATTGGATATAAATGTGTTAGGCATCTTCTCCCGTACAACCTTTTCCAAGCTGGTCTGCATGCCCCCCATACTACGTCGTAGTCACCTTTTGTTCCGTTGGCCTGGGTAGCTACTTGTGCGCCTATATTTGTCATAGCTACCCAGGCCCTTTACCTTCGCGTTCACACTTGATCTCTAGCTCTTGTCTCTCTCTTCCGGATATCTCAGTCGGTAGAGCATGAGATCCCATGCACAGTCGTCCTCAACCGCCATTCGTCTCGTCCTCAGTAATCCTCGTCCCGCCTATGTCAACCTGGTCTCGTCCATGTCAACCTCGTCTCTTCAATGTCAATCTCGTCTCGTCCAAGTCATGCAGGTCAGCTATTTTCTTTATTTCTCTCTTTCTTTTCATCTGTCCTTCGTCGTCAAATTTATATTCAGTTTATTTTATTTTGTGATTTTTGTAGTGCGTGTGTGCGCGGGTGTCCTTCGTCAATATTAGTTGTCCGATGGTGAGCCACGCTCTTTTATTCATGTTGCATTAATTGGCAGAAGAGTAACTATGCTGCATAGCAATGCAAATCAGAAGACAATGTTCCTTGCTTTTTGTCTTTTATGTGTGCCAATTTTTTTGTGAAGGGGTGTTTGGCCCGTCGTTGGCAATGTCTACGCTACCATAAGTGATGTGTAAATACTTTAGAGTACAGGAACATCATAGCTGTAGTGCATAATTAGTATAACACTTTTGTGACACCTGTGCATTGTGTGTGTGTGTGTGTGTGTGTGTGTGTGTGTGCTTTTTTTCTCTACTTCCTCAGCCATTTTTTCTATTTTTCTCGTCGTCTTATTATTTCCTGCAAGGCAGTTCCTTTTCTTTGGGCAGGGGAGGTATGTTAGGTACCTCCTCCCGTACAACCTTTTCCAGGCAGGCCTGCATGCACCCCATACTACGTCGTACTCACCTTTTGTCTCCTTTTCTCACCTTTTGTCTCCTTCTCTCACCTTTTGTTCTGTTAGCCTGGGTAGCTACTTGCGCGCCCATATTCTCCATACCTACCCAGGCCCTTTATCTTGCCGTTCATACTTGATCTCTAGCTCTTGTCTCTCTCTGCCACAATGTAGTCGTTTCGTTTGTCCTGGTCTCTGCCTCTTCGTCTCCCAATTAAATGTTGTCCCATCTAACTGTTCCCGTTGTCTATTGTTGTCTCTGGAGAATATGCCGTCGTCCTTTTCTTCCTCCACAAACTGGTGTCTACCACCGCCGGCGCTGCTGGGTGACCTTTATGCGTTCCTCGCCAATGTACCATGCCACGCTGTAGTGGCATTCCCATTCTGGCCGTCGGCCCCGTGGTGGCCTGTGTGGATGCCGGAAAATGGCCCTTGTCATCTCGCTACGGACTCGGAAATCGTGTCCTTGCCGTTTGGTGCTTTCCAGCATGTGTCCAAACCAACATGCCTGTTTGGTCCAGACCCGCCGCCTTTCCAATTTGTCTTCATGCAAGTCTGCTCGATGACGTCATGCCGGGCGCATAACCCATGAACGTTGGCCATCTCAAACACTGACCCTGTCTGTCTGACACGTCCAGAGAATCAATTTTGCCATAGGATGGTATGTTGTGCCAGCTTAGTCTTCTAGTAGCATGCTGCACATTCTTGCTTCTACCTTATTTGGTCTGTCTCTCGTTTCCCGTTTCTTGTTCTTTGGTCTATTTTGTTCCCTATATTTTTTGTTTTTGTTTTGTTGTTAGTGTTCCCTGGCCTTGGAGGAGACATATTTATTGGACTTTTTTCTTGTCTTGGAAAGTAATGGCGTAGATTTATATGGGCTGGGCTTGATCCTATGCGCAAATGAGTGTTAGCAGAGTGCAGTCACTACAGTCTATGGAGGGCATGCATTTGTGTGTGAGGCTTCCTGGGAGCAAAGGCGTGCAACACTTGGTGATCTGCATGCCTATGGGAGGCAGAGCGTGAGCTCCCTGGGAGCGTGTGTGTCATTCCCACCTGGTGGGCAGGTTGTGCATGTGTTTTCCCAAGGGGACAATGTGCGACGGGACACTGGGTTATCTGCATGCCAATGAGAGGCAGGCCTGGAGCTCCCTGGGAGCGGGTTGGTCATCCCCACTTAGTGGGTAGGTTGTGCATGTGTTTGCCCAAGGGGACAATGTGCTACGGGATGCTGTTGTCTGCGGGGTCGGGTTTGCTTGTGGCTCGGAAGCCTACGGAATGAGCTGCTATCATGCATGGGACCCGTTTACGGTGGCCATTAATGAGGACCCATGGTTGTTGTTGTTGTTGTTGTTGTGTTTTTGCTGACTGGGTTTCATGTTTTTGCCTATTTTTGCTTCTCCGTGTGTCATTCTTGTCAGGCCCATCCGCGTTATGGGTCGAGGTGGACGCTGTGACACAACCGTCCCTGAAACCTCTGGCGGACCTGCTAAGGACAGTGATTCGGAAGGATGTTGCTAGCTCCACTGCGTCTGCGTACCAGCGCGCGTTACACCGATGGGAAAAGTGGGCCGTACCGTGTCAAGTTACGTCATTCCCAGCGGCACTCACCAGCGTGTGCTTATACACCATGAAGTTATTGTAGTCACAGTGTACCATGGGGACAATAAACCAATTTGTGGCGGCATTGCTCTGGATGCATTGTAAGGCCGATTGCCAGGATCCCACACAACATAGCGTGGTGAGACAATTGCTCACTGCTGCAAGACGTATTTGTGCCCGACCAATCAATCGCCGCTCACCTTTGAGGTCGGTGGTGTTCAACAAGGTCGTCGCCACACTGGCTATCCCTACCGCCCCGTTGCAGGACTGGCAAACCGCAGCGTTGTTTGTCCTCGGCTTCACTGCTCTGCTTCGCTGGGACGATTTACAACGCCTCCCGCCTCAGGATATCTCCATTTGCGGCACGCACATGTCCCTCCACCTGCGGCAACGCAAGAACGACCAGTTGCGCCAGGGCGATGTGGTCATGGTGAGCCGACTGGAGCAGCAGGCTACTAAACCATGTCCTGTTTCGGTCATAGAGGGTTTCTTGGAGAGAGCACGGCATGTACCCACTCAACCTCTCTTTGGCAAGGTCTCCGCAGCAACCCACCAGTCATGTCTGCGGGGAAAGATGACATACGCCCGGGCGCGCGAATTGATTCACACAGCTCTCGCCCGCGTAGGTGAAGACCCCACAGGGTATGGCACGCACAGTCTCCGCTCTGGGGGAGCGACGGCAGCGGCCAATGCTGGCGTGCCAGAGCGCCTTCTTCAGCGGCAAGGGGGGTTGGAAGTCATCCACATGTAAGAACATGTATGTGGAGGATTCCCTCAAGGACCTGCTGTCGGTGTCTCGCGCTACACTACACAAGTGACTATCGGGTCGGCTATCCTTTCCGTCGTGAGTGAACAAAGACCACACTACTACTGTGATCTGTATCTTTCTGTTGTGTGTGGGTGTGTCTGCGGTGTACGCAGAGGCCAGCTAGCTGGCAAAAAGTGTTATTTTTCGTTGGCTGAGCGTAGCGAATAAAACGAAAAATGTATTTTTTGCCAGCATTTTCACCATAGTTACGGCACCAGGATTGCGTCAGCTGGTTTTTTTGTCAGTGTTCTCAAACTTTTCTCTTCATCGTGGTCTTTCTCTTTTCGTTGTAGTTTACCACCCGCCCTCCCGTTTATTCTCACTTCGGGATAGGTCCTGCAGGCTACGTTTGGTTCGTTTATCTTATGGGGTTATTCTAACCGGTTTTTCCTCAGGGATGTGCCTCCGCGGCCCGGGGTCCTGAGGTTTTTTCCGCCACCTTCGGGCTGGTTAATTATCCGGCGGCCCCATTCGCCACAGTGGTTCACTTCTTGCATCATGTTGGTCTGGTACATACGTGTACATGTATATGCGTGAGGTGGCATGCCCTTAACCTTCTTCATGCTCATCTATACACTACGCTCTTCCATCTTCCACCGTGAGTGAACAAAAACCACACTACTACACACAACTATCATCGTGAGTGAACAAATACCACACTACTACTGTGATCTGTATCTTTCTGTTGTGTGTGGGTGTGTCTGCGGTGTACGCAGAGGCCAGCTAGCTTTCAAAAAAACGCTCTGTTTTCGTGGTGTTGAGCACCGTCAGCACACTGGGTACATCCTCCGGTGACTTATGTACGTAACATTATCGGATCCTACTACTACGTAGTACAGTCATGTGCATGACATCTTGTACACGTTTATAATTTTTATTCCTTTTATTTTTTATTTATTTAGAATCGCATTATCGAAATAGACAGCATAATTGAAGTCGCTTCGTTGTAAGGGGGGATTCAAAAAAGCTTTTTTTGCTATGCGATTGGCGATGCGACGCGATTTGCGACGGAGACGTGCGATGCAAACTCACGAAATACCATTCACAGGCGAAGTCCCCGAAGCGATGATACCTTGCTGATTTGGCGCGAAGTTCAATGCAGGCAGGTATGCCACCATGGTATTCACGCGGTTTGGTACAACTTGTACAAGTTTTCGGGCAACTCTTGAATCTTTGTACAACTTTGCTGTAGAAAAGGTCAAAATCGTACGCCAAATCGTTTGTCGCATCGCAAAAGTTGAGCCGAGCTCAACTTCTGCGATGGCCCAGTTGCGGCAGTTAAATGGGCTGCGAGTTGGCTGCGATTTGGGGATTTCCCAGTTTCGCAACCGTCGCATCGTGTGTCACAACGCAAAATGCTTCTGTGAATCCTGCTTTGTGATCAATTATACGTATAACCGATATAATCGTTTCAGCCCTAATATATACATGTACACACAAACATGCACATACACCCCCTCCCCCCTCCCCCTCCCCCTCCCCCTCCCCCAACACATACACATACATGTACACGCATACACACCGTGTACCATGTGTACTCCCGTCACAAAAGAAGCACGCAAACGATAGCAATAATAGTGGACAATATCTGAATGAGACAGAT